ACCTTACTCTCATTGCGCTGCACCATCTCAGAAGTCGTTGGTAAAAGAGTCTCATACACCTGGGGGGCCTGGACTTCTTGGCGGGAGGGTTCGCAACCTATCGCCTCCAACGCGGCAATGGCTGCAGCCCTGCGCGGAACAGAGCGCGCCGATGTTGTTACCTGTTTGAGGAGAGGAAGTATTCTTGATCCTTTGCGATCCTGTTAGACCAGGAGCCTATCTTCCATCGCCTCATTCCATTGCGCTTTATGGGATTTCTGTTCGTGAGGTTTGCGGCCCTTGGGGCGGATTTTGTGATGTCTTCTAAGGGAGTCACGGTCATGAAATCGGGACCCACACTCGCAGAGATGCGGGAATTGGCTCGCGTTGCTGGTGCCCGGGTTTCCGGCATAAAAATCATCGGAAAGCCCATCAGAATTTGAAAAGAGACCTTGGGCACCAGAATTAAAATCCTCTTTCGAGGAGGCGCCAACTAAAATACCCGCGTCAAGAGGGCCGGCGGAGATCTTATTTACCTCCTGAGGGGAATTCACTGGAACCTGGGAAGATGTGGCAGAAGGCGGCAAGCAGCGCAGATGAAATTTAGTTTTATGCTTGTGTAGGCCACCTCTAGATCTATATGTAGCGTCACAATAGGGGCATTTAAGCACACCGTCACCCAAGTCCCACACGTCGCGATTTTTATTACCCATTACGGTGAAGACGCACTCTAAAAAATTTCAAAGTATCGCGATATGCGTGAGGCTTTATGTCCGTGCCACAAAAGTCCGCTCTAGGCAGACAATGAATCGTCCTACTTAAACGTCAAGCACCTAAATTAGTGCAGGGAACGCCGTACTGTTGGTGATTCTAGTCGAAGGATGAAACCGAAACTCGTCAAATGTTTCCCGGGACGACTAAAAATTTTCTAAGTCCGAAACTTCGAAAAATTTCTAAGTCCGAAACTTCGAAAAATTTCTAAGTCCGAACCCTCGCGCGAGATTTATAACTTAAAAAAAAAAAATAATAATAATTATTATTTTTAAGATTAAGCTGGCTAACAGGAACCCAATTATAAGCCAGCTTTAAAGAGAGGCGTGAAATTTATGAAAGAAGTAATTAATTATAAATGAATTTTTGCGTGTAGGTAATTAGTACATCAGAAGCTCTTGCAATGACATCTGACCCAAATTTTGGTGTTAGCATCACAACCTGATCCATCCGTAGGACAGATATCAGTACCTACAGCGATTAGCCATGAGGAAGCAAATGGTACTTATCAATCACAATAACAATAATACGCGAGACAGACATTGCATAAATATCAGAAAAATCAACAAAGAAGTTGATAATACGACAGCTGTTAAATATAGGAGAGTGCCTTATAAGTTATAAGGCACTCTCCTATATTATAATATTACTTTCCCGGTCTGGTCACGGGATAGATGTTGCGTCCGGAGGAACGGGCCAGGACGAGAGCCCGGCACTTGTCGGGGTGTAAGACCATTCTCCTCCGTTTGAAGAACGTCGAGGTGGCCTGCAGGAGCTTGTCTACGTCTGTGGAGTTCTCACCTACCAAAACGATATCATCGGCGAAGGCGAGGGCACGACATTTGGGGCCGCTGCAGAAAGCGCAAGCATTGGAATGCATGGAGTCTAGGTTATCCAGGAGTTCGTCGATCACCAGGTTAAATAGCAGGGGGCTTAGTGGATCCCCCTGCCGAACTCCTCGGCGGATCTCGAGGGCCCTGGACGAGGAGCCGCCCACGAAAAAGGATGTTATGGAGCCCTGGAGGGTGGCCATGATGTAGCTGCGTAGATATTCGGGGACCCCTGTTCGTTTCATGGCCCGCTCGATGGAGTGGTGCGACACCGAGTCAAAAGCCTTTCGGATGTCCAAACAGACGAGCGCTAGACCCCGCCTAGCTGTTGTTCGTTCGTTCATCAGCGAGTCTAAGATCAGGACGCTCGCGAGGCAGCCGTCGGTGGGGACGGAGCCCCGCTGGTTCTTATTGAGGTCGACAGCGGCATCCACCTTGGACATAACGACCCGGTGCAGGAGCCTCTGGACGGCGGACCCTATCGTAATGGGCCTCCAGTTTACAGCTCTCTTCCTGTCCTTCCCCGTCTTCGGGACCAGGATGGTACGCAATATCATCCACTCGGGGGGCTGGTATTTCGAGGCCAGGATGAGGTTAAAGAGTACGGCTAGGGCGTCGTCGCTACTCCTGGCGACCTTTGGTATAAGGACACCGTCACACCCTGGGGCTGAAGGTCTCCAGCCGGTTTTCGCACGGCGGACGTCCTCTGGGGTGATGGGCCGGTAGGGCTGGGTGGAAAGCTTGCCCTTCTCATTGTATGGTTCGTGGTCGGGCGGGGAGAGGGACTCGAGCATGCTGCCATGCACATCCATGACGTCGTCCATATCGGGACCGACCTGGCTTCCGGAAAGGGGAGCCCCGGCGGCTATAGCATCTGCCAGCAGACACGGGTTCTTGTTGAAAAGGTCCTGAGCGAGTTTCAGCTCGGCCGCTTTTCTATGTGTCCTATTAGGAGGCCTCTCGGGTTGTTGGGGGGAGGCGTTCCGCTTCTTTGGCACCTTTGGGTGCTTGCGCTGGTCGACTGGGAAAAGATGTTCCAGCATCTCGTCGATGACCGGGCCCCAGTCATCCGGACTCAGAAGTAGGGCTCGGTAAACCCATCCCCTCAGGCGCCTCACCCGAGGAATGTCTTTTTCGACGATTTCGCCAAACAGGGGCCTCAGGGTGTCCCTGACATCTCCGTACGGGCCTGGGGGCCGCGTTAGGGTGGTAGTCGAGGTTCCGGCGGAGCGTAGGGGCTCGGGCAAGGTAGTTGAAGAGCGAGCCGAGCGGGCGGGGCTCGAAGGGGTGGGCGGGGACACTTGTTCAACGGAGGCTGGGACTTGGGATTCACCGGTCCAGGCGGCCAGATTCTCCTGGGCGAAGTCAACTGTGTCCTCTGGGGATCCCGAGATGGAGGGGGGATCTACGAGAAGGGTGTTGCTAATGAGTGTCTCAGACGGGGCAGGGGGTCGTCTGCGTTTACGGCGGGTCGCCCGGTTGGGCTGGGCGACTGGTGTTTCGTGCGGACCCAGAGGGGATATAAGATATTATAAGATTATAAGTTATAACATTTGTATTCGGTTTAGGAGTATAAAAATACTGAATCGATCTCAGTTGAACAGTGGGGACACAGAAATTTAGGGAAGATAAGAGCTGTGGGCAATTGATCCTGTTATGCAATAAATTATAAACTAACCTAATGTACAGCAGATCACGCCTGCATTGCAATGAAAGAAAATTGAAACGACTGCACAAAATATCATTACTAATGCCATGAACTAGGTAACATAATCAATTTTCCAACACAAGAACTTTAAGAATCTTCTCTGCACAGATTCAATATTGACAATATATTTATTATAGAGTGGCGACCAAACTACAGCACCATACTTTAAACGGGATCTGACAAGCGCAATAAATAAGGTGATAAAACAATTTATATCAGTGAAACTTCGGGAAGAACTAATAATAAATCCAAGAAGCTTCAGAGCAGAATTCTTGATAAAATCAATATGAAGATCAAAGACCAATTGTCGATCGAACCAAATGTCCAAATCTTTGATAGAAGCGCATCTTGTTATAAGTTCTCCCTCAATAGAATAATCATACTTAATAGTAGTAATAATCCTCTACAGTGACGGTGGCAAGCAATTTAATGACTCAGTCGATCGATAACCCGAATAAAGCGTCGAGATAAATCTCGAAAATAATTGTCGAAGTTCCGTATTTCCCGAATAATAAAGAGAAACAACCGGAAAATACGGACAGAAATCAACAATGACGTTGGCGGGAGCGATTAAACCAATCACTGATGGACGGATTGGAATTTCCCGGACAAACAGAGAAAAAATTTCCAAGTCCGAACCGAGAAATTATTCTAAGTCCACTCTTAAAGTGAAAAAAAATCGCAAAATTCCCGACTAATCCGGGCAATAATTATTACGATCGATCGACTGGCAGATGTTCATGCACAAATTACTAGCGACTTACCTTCGGAACACAGAAGAACTTACCTGAGAATTCCTGAATTACTCAGAGGAATTGCACTATCTCTTCGATTCCATGTACGCGAACATTTACGTCAGTGGTACAGCATCTCCGAGATCATGGTACCTTCAACCTCAAACTCACGATCGTGGTCGTGATGGGACAGAAAGAAGAAATTGGACTTTCGCAGCTTGTAGTGCACCCTACATTAAAAGTACACGGTCACAACCATACCATGTTGACTAAGTGCACGGTTTGGAGTCCACTGATTGTCCACGTTGTGTAACTCACTTTTGGTCCGATGGAACTCCACATAGTCGTCAACAAGTACGATTTCAAGAGACGGTTTTCGAGAAACGTGTATTGGTTGGATGAAACAATTCGTTTGTGGAAATCAACAGTGTCCAGAAATAATCGAAGAGCTTCAACAAGTGAAAGTGGCAGCCGCTACTCCGATGTTTTTTTACCAATCAATAAACCTCTTGCGACGCTCTGACGCTTGAATTGCTAGTCAAGGACAACATTTTCAACATTTCTTGTAAAAAGGTAGTAGCATTCTAAGTTGCTCTTATTTCTGTTCCAATAAACAATGTAAAATCGTTGTGACAAGGACCAAACATCCGTCAGAATCAAAATTACTAAAAAACTTTCACACTGACCTTTAACGATGAATGAGTAAATGAATGAACGAATGATAAGCAGCAAAAAGTCGGTTTTACTTTTAATTGAAACTGAAAGTGTTTAGGTCGTTTTTATTCGAACGTTTTTCCAACTCTGTTTACAAGGTGGCTCAGTGCCTTCGTATCGAGGGTGGTTCATGGGGGTTTTGCCCCATTCGATTTTTAATTTATTTTTTCTATATTTCGGCTCTACTAGGGTGGGGGATGCCGTGGTTAAAATATTTGCATATATTTCGCAGTCACCCTGTATTGCAATATAAAGATAAAGAACTTAGCTCTCCAGCTGAAATAGTAAATGCGTTTAGTGATTGTTTTCGTGAGGTTTATATTCAGCCCTCTCCAAAATGTAGCGAGCTGTGCTGTGAAGTGCTGTGAAGTGCAGTGAAGTGCACGTCTCCATGACTATTCCAATATTTAACGAATTTTTGTTAATCTATCATATATATACTTATTACCCATTGTGTCCAGCATGTCGACAACATGTACAAAGTGTGAACGAAGTGGTGCCGACGTACATTGCGACTTATGTAAAAATGGATATCACGGAATCAACTCTAGTGGTCTTTCGCGTAGTGAAGTATCGTGTTTAAAATCAGAATCTATATTTCGGCTCTACTAGGGTGGGGGATGCCGTGGTTAAAATATTTGCATATATTTCGCAGTCACCCTGTATATTTAAGATAAAAATGAAAACAATACTTATTTTTGTTTTGTTAATTATTAATTTCTTAATTCTCTAACCAAAGAACTTAAAGATAGCTGCATAACATCTGTATTTACATCGAGAGAGTTAATTGCTCTAGAGATATTGTCGATTATACAACAGTAAGTACCATAGTTTGTCTTATGAAAGTTTAACACAAAAGTTTCAGTACAACGACTAGCTGACCTTGGAACTCGAAACTGAAATAAATTGACCAATTCAGTGCAGTCAATTATGTTCTTGAGCAATTTAAATCCAAAAATTATGTCACTTTTTACTTTTCTCGAGCCCAGAGTTTCTAAATTAGCTAACATTAACTTATGTTCGTAAATAGAATTAACTAAGTAATTTACAAACTTGCGTTGACCTCTTTCGAGCCTTGTTTGATGAATATCATAGTAAGGATACCAAATTATATTACAATATTCTAGAACGGGTCTGATATACATATGCAACAAATAATTTGCGGATAGCATTAACATCCCTGAAATCTTTAGTCTGCCTTTTTATAAAGCCGCACATACGAAATGCCTTACTTATAATGTTGTCAATATGCCCATTGAAGTTTATTTGCGAATCGAAAAAAATACCTAGGTCAAAAATTTCATCTACCTTATTGAGAGTTAAACCATGTAGTGCATAATTGTATAATAAATTATTCGATTTACGAGAAAAAGTGATTGTTTTGCACTTATCAAAATTAAGTAACATGTTGTTTGAACACCAGTTGTTAACTACATTTAGATCCCTTTGTAAAAGGATAGAATCATTTATGGAAATTACTTTGTTAAATATTTTTAAATCCTCTGCGAACAATAAATAGTTGCATGATGAAAGATAATGAGTTAAATCATTAATAAATAAGGAAAACAATATGGGTCCCAAGTGACTACCCTGTGGTACCCCAGATGAAACGATAGAAGAATCAGAAAGATATCCATTCAAAAAAGCTTGTTGTTGTCTGTGTTGAATGTAAGAACTTAACCTGTTGTGCAATTTCCCCTCGATCCCATAAAGCCAAAGTTTTTGAAGCAACAAACGGTGATGCACACGATCGAAAGCTTTGCTGAAATCTGTATATATTGCATCTACTTGATATCCATTTTCTAAAGAACTTGCAATATAATTAATATAAACAACTAGATTTGCGACAGTGGATCGACCAGAGAAAAAGCCATGCTGATGGGATGAGAGTTTATTTCTGAATGTAGCGAAGAGAGCTTCTGAAATTATTGATTCTAGAATTTTACGTAAGGCTGGAATTATGCAGATTGATCTGTAATTAGTAATGTTAGATCTATCTCCAGATTTAAAAAGGGGTAAAACATATGAGATCTTCCAAAATGAGGGACACACTCCTTCAGAGATAGATTTAGAGTATATAATCGAGAGGGGCCACGCTAAACTGCTACTGCATTGCTTAAGAAGATAAGATGGTACACTGTCGGGACCTGGGTTTAAACTTGGTTTGATTTTATTTAATTTGTTAGAAACAATATCTGGGGAGATTTCAATATTATTTAAGCTATTACTGTTATCAAAAGGGGAATAATCCGTAATAATAATGTCTTTATTATGAGTTTTGTAGACAGATTTGAAGAATTTTGCGAACAGATTAGTAATTTCACGAGGATTGAAAGAAGATTAATTGTCGTAGTTCATTATATTGGGAATATCGAAGTTGGATTTACTTTGTTTGTTATTGGAAAATTTAAAAAAGGCCTTACAGTCAGAATGAATATTTGATTGTATGTAACGCAAATACCTGGCATAATCTTTGGCAATTTCCATTTTTGATATTTTTCTTAGTTCCTTATATTTGTTACAAACAAATATGTTCGATGATGATTTATAGTTGCAGTATAGTTGCGCTTCTTTGTAATTAGTTTTATGGTTTGTTTGGAGTACTAAACCGGATAACGTGATCCACTATTGTATTTCCGTTGTTTTGGTATGAATTTGTTAATCGCAAAGTGGATTATATCATAGAAAGTCTGGAGCGCTAATTCACAGGTGTTGGAATTGAACAGAATTTCCCTGTTTAAGGATGATACGAAGTTATTCATTGCGAGGAAATTGGCTTTTCTAAAATTGTAATAAAATGAAATTTTTGATTTTAGTTTATCATAACTGTTAGAGACAGGTACTTCTATAATTAAAGGAGGATGATGTGTATCGTTTTCCACTAAATGAATCATTTCTCTTTTGACAATTAAATTAGTTAATGTTGCAAGTACTAAATCTAAAATAACATTGTTACACTTTCGGATATTATTGAATTGATACATTTCGAGATAGTTGAACGAGTCGCAAATTATCTTCTCAGATTCACTTTTTTCACAAATCTGCCTATTTATTAAATCATGTTCAAGATTAGGGAGATTGTAGTCTCCTATCATGCATAATGTAGAATCGGGCGATTTATCTCTGATTTCTTCCAAAGATGAAATATTTTCTAAGTAACTACTTACGTCTGATTTTGGTGGTATATAAACTGTTCCAATAATAATTAAACTTTCGTTTTTTAAGAAAAGAGATACATACAGTTCTTCGCACGTAGATGGTGTTGCGTTGTAAATAGCGGAAGAGTACTCTGCACGAACTACGATGAGAACGCCGCCGTCACGAGCTTTTGCAGTCTCAGATTGATCACGATCTGGACGATAAACAGTATAGTGAGAATCAAAAATTTCGTTTGTGAAAATGTCTTTGGTAAGCCAAGTCTCCGTTAATATAATTATGTCGTAGTCTGCATTAAGGGTTGATTGAAGTAGAGTTGTTGTTTTAGTTCGGAGACCGCGGACATTTTGATAATAATATATATAGTTTTGTCTGTTACACCACTTAAGATAAGATTATTTAATTCCACACGGATGGTTTTTAAATATTAGCGCTGCATCGGAGTTCTATCGGGTTGACATGAATAAGGAAATTTCGTTTTATTTTTTAAAATTGCGTGGACATCTTCGGGCCTTTCGATTATAACTTTGATGGGACGGTTTCTTTCCTGAGAATATTTTCCAAGACGAATAATCTTCATCGTGTCCGTGGCGACTGATTCGGAGACATTTTGTACCGCACTTTTGATCTTATTAAAATCTTTGTTTTTACGTTCGATGCCATTCGATTCCTCCACATTATATACAATTAAATTGGTTTCCCTTTTCTTCCTTTCAAAAATTTCAACGACAATATTTTCTGTGATCAAATTGTTGTTTACAATGTTATCAGTTGTCTTATCCGTAGTTTTTTCTGCCAATGTATTTTGTTTCACAACAAATTTGAGATTATTGACTTCTTCTTGAAGGGATTTTACGGTGTTGGATAAATCTACCATGTTGTTTAGAATGGCCTTAATATCCGAACAATTCTCACAATAAAATTTTAATTTGCGGTTTTCTGATTTTAAACACGATACTTCACTACGCGAAAGACCACTATAGTTGATTCCGTGATATCCATTTTTACATAAGTCGCAATGTACGTCGGCACCACTTCGTTCACACTTTGTACATGTTGTCGACATGCTGGACACAATGGGTAATAAGTATATATATGATAGATTAACAAAAATTCGTTAAATATTGGAATAGTCGTGGAGACGTGCACTTCACAGCACTTCACACCACAGCTCGCTACATTTTGGAGAGGACTGAATATAAACCTCACTAAAATAATCACTAAACGCATTTACTATTTCAGCTGGAGAGCTAAGTTCTTTATCTTTATATTGCAATATGCCTGGAATTCTGCTTTGTCCCGCTTTGGAACGAACAAATGACCAGAACGATTTTGGATTTTGGGCAATATCTTTTTCAATTTGACGTAAATATTTTTTGTACGCTGATTTAATCAAACTTTTACACCTAGATCTATATAATGTGAACATACTCTTAAAACCATCAGTTTTATGTTTTTTGTATAATTTAAACATTTTAGATTTAATTCTTATACAATTAATTACATCAGTATCGAACCAGATTGGATAATTATAATTATGATTTTGTTTACATCGATTTCTAGGTACCGTTTCATTAAAATTTGAATTTAATTTATCATAAAACAAAGAGCAAGCCTCATCCACATTACTAACATTATTTAGAAAATCCCATTTGGTTGAAAGCAACATTTCATACAGCAATGGAAAATTAGCTTTTCTGAAATTAAATAATTGACTACGGTCATTGATGGGAAAAAACTTCTGCAATGTAGTGTTAAAGTCTATGTCAACAGATAAACTAGGATGATGGACATCTTCATGAACTAGCTCTAATGGGGCGGCGTCCACTTGACAATTAATGTTACTAATAACTAGATCTAATGTATGTTGATTTACGTTTTTCACATTATTATATTGACAAAAATTAGAAAACTCTTTAAAGTTACTCAATGTTGTAGTGAAATTATTTATAACACCCAAAGTAAACTCACGAACATTGAAATCACCCAGCAATATAATTTTGTTATTACAAAGTACATCTAGTGTACTTGGACCATCAAAAAATAATTCAAAGTCTTGAAAGCTTGTCCTCGGCGGAATATAGATAAACAAAATTATTAATGGTTCATAATAACCAGCGATTCTGGCTCCCAACAATATCTGTCTCTGTAGCTTTAAATTTATCCCTAATGCCCATAAGTACACCACCACCCTCAGAAACATTTAAATGCTCGAAATCCCTGTCCTTACGAAACACTGCAAAATCTTTCGGAAACAATTCATTATTATTTATATATGGAAACATGTTTGGAAAACTTCTGCTTCCATAAATAATTGATTCTGGAATCGAAATGGACCGCTCCGGGATATTTAAAGAAAAAGATCATAGATATGAAGTTAGACGAAGATATTACTGTTTATTTAACATATGTCCATATTTTAAAGAGAGTAATCAACTGAAGAATTAGACAATTTTGGCATTTGTTTTCTCTTTCTGGAGGTATAGTAGCTACCATGTATAGCAATTGCTAAAACAAAGTTTATTTTATTATTATTATTATTATTATTATACAAATCGATCGGGCAGAGGCCGAAGCCTGTTATGCCCGCGCAGTTCAGAGTGCTAAATACAGGTTACATACAGGTTAAATACACGTCTAAGTACTAGCGGCATCTAGAGTATCATATCTAATTTTAAAACTAATGACGGAAGGACTGCTCACTGTTTCGTCGCGTAAAGAGTTCCAGTGATGAAAGACTCTGTTGGAGATAAAGAACTGTCGGATTGTAGTTCTAAAAACCTCTCGAAGCAATTTAAAACGGTGCCCTCGGGTTCTTAAGTCAGTATTTAGAGTGAAAAGGCGGCGAATTGGAGACAGCTGATCCGTCAACGCCTGGAAGGTGACAATTAAGTCGCCTCTCAGGCGCCTTTGAGTCAAACTGGTCAAATTCATAAGTGACAGCCGTTCGGAATATTGAGGACGTGTTCTACCAAACGGGACTTTTGTTGCTCTTCGTTGTACAGATTCCAGCAGAAGTAAGTCTCGTTGTAGAATGGGGGTCCAGACAGCGTTAGCAAATTCAAGGATGGGCCCCACGAAACTTTTATACAGTTTAACAAACGTGGAGTAACTGGGTTTGCAGAAAGCCTTGCTTAAAAGATACAGCACAGAATTAGCTTTTTTAACAACACGTATGATGTGTTGCGACCAAGAGATATCTGAACTGATGGTTACCCCCAGGTCCTGACAATAATCCTTTTTCTCCAATTGCACGCCACCAATGCTGTACGTGAACTTGGGATTGTGTTTTCCAATATACAGGACGTTGCATTTTTTAATATTAAGAGGCAGAAGCCAGTCATGAGCCCATTTAAGAATAGCGGGAAGGTCCTGTATCAAAAGCGAATTGTTGGTGCTGGTATTGTAAAGTTTGACATCGTCTGCATACATGGCAAAGGGGGATGTTAAAATGTTCTTTAGATCGGCGGTGTAGGCCAAAAAAAGTAATGGTCCCAACGTTGACCCTTGTGGTACTCCACTCTGCATCTTAACTGGTCTGCTGAAAGAATCACCCACTTTTACAGAAAACGTACCCTCGCTGATGAAAGACTCGATCCACTTGATGAGATTTCCACTTATACCTAGACACTGCAGTTTGTACAACAAACGACGTTTGGGGACCTTGTCAAACGCCTTGGAAAAGTCTAAAAAGATGACGTCGACAGAGTTGCCACGATCAACCTCTCTAGTCCAAACCGATAAACAGGTGAGAAGGTTCGATTGGATCGACTTTCCGGGGAGAAAGCCATGTTGCTCGTTCGGAATTAAGTGGTGATCTATTAAGTATTTAATCAGCTGGTCATATATTATCGATTCCATGATCTTACTGACCACGGAAGTAAGACTAATAGGTCGGTAGTTACTTGCGTCAAGTTTATCCCCTTTCTTAACAATTGGGCGGACGGTGGCAATTTTCCAGTCAGCAGGCAGAGTACCGGAATCAAAGGACTGCTTCATAAGACTACAGAGTACTTCGCTGAGAGTATCAACGCAATCATGCAAAGTTTTAGCGGTTATGAGGTCGGGGCCAGGAGATTTGGATACCTTTAATTGCTTTAATTTTTTGTGGACGACCTCTGTTGTGAACGAAATGTCGGTAAAAGAAATAAGTTTGCATATATTATTCAGCTTTGGTAAGCAACCTGAGGGTTCTATCGTGAACACGTTAGAGAAGGCGTCAGCGAAAGTATCCGCTATTATTTTCTTATTATCCAGTATCTCCCCGAATGTTATTATTTGTAACACAATAATATTTTTTGGACACTCCATGGAAATTACTAGATTTCTTTATACCAAATCGTAAAGAAAATACCCACTTTTCTTTATATAGCAACAACATAACAAATCCAATTTTATTATTTATTTGAATAAATATTAAAACTATAATTGTTAAGATTAGAAAATGAACACTTTGAATCATTAAACGAAAGTGATGATTGATGAACTTCAGAAGGTGACGAATGACTACAAGCAGGAACGGGTTGTTATTCAGCGGGCAGTGTGATGGTATTTGGTGGACCCTAGCATTCACTAGCTGATCACGAAGATGTTTGATTAAAAATCA